AAAAAAACAGCAAAATTGAAATTTTGGGCTTATTTAAAAGGTAAAGCCATTGGGCAAAAGGCTGTGTTGTTTCAAATTAGCCTCTGAGAAGTTCATTGTGACCTGGGTCACAGCTGAGTCAGAGTTCAGTCACTGGTGCACACTCCCAATGCCTGGCTAATGAGGCATCTTGGCTTTGTTTTTAAGCTAGGAGTCCTTTATAGCATTAAGAGTGTTGTGTCTCTGCTCCTGCTTTTTTAAACATAATCACAGACTAAAGCAAGACCCAGTCATTTGTGTGAAAATGCTGCACAATAAAGTGGGTGATGCGGACACAAGTGGGCATGTACACAGGCACATGTGCACCAATACTGCAACATATCAGTGGATTTCATACATTTCTCTATAATCAGGGGTGTTTAATTCTTTATGTTGCCTACTATAGAGTATAATATTTAATATATTTATGATTAGACATTCTAACTGCTGAACAGTATCTATTTATAGCTGTGTATTCTATACATAGCTGAAGCTCTCTTTGTAGTGTGTGTGTGTGTGTGTGTTTAGTCAATGTGTTCACTTTGCTCTCTGTGAATCTGTATTTGTTTTAGATAACATAAATCTTTCTGTGTTTGTACCAGTCAGGCAGAAAGATAATTTCCTGCCCATTGACATATCAATGCTATTTTTGATTACTGTATAGTCATCAGGAAATGTTCAAGTAAACACGCTGCGCGGTTGTACAAATGAGTACCTACTGGCACTTTTTAATGAAAATGTGGAGTCTGAATCTTTCGATAATAAATTAACTCAGACAGAGACAGAGTCTGTTAATATATTCTCCCGCTGGCTCCCACTGATTGGTCAATTTTCAGAATGCTTTTTTCATCCCTTCAGACCCTCTTTAATGTGCGTGTATGTGTGTCTACACCTGTGTTCCTGTGCCTGCATTAAAAGAATGAAGGGAGATTATTAACAGAACCTGTGGTAATTTGTTTGTTTGACCTTAAGCAAGAAGACTCACCTCAATTATGCAGAATATTCTTAGGGGAGCAGTTGAAAGGATGGGTTTTGTGTAGGTGAGAAATATTTTACATCATAGTTGCTTCATTCCACAGGCTTGCTGTTACATACATGGCTGCAGTTTGTGATATTCTTTCAAACCAGCAATTTCTTCTTCTGACTTGGCTCTGAGGCTGCTAGTCTTTCTTTTCTTGTAAAAAGTTGGAATTGCTACTTCCAGAAAGTGCTGGGGGCTATAACTGTAGCACTAGCAAAGAAGATTAGATTGTGCTTTACATGAGGTGAAATAAACAAAAACCAGCAAACAGGGTCAACATATTAAAATATGTATTTTTATTCGAACAAAGCTGAAGGTAATGTCTTTGTTTGAGCGTTTCAGTTTTTACTGTCAAGTCAGCTTATATCATTGCTTCAAATCCCAAACAATACTTTTAGTATTGTTTAACATTTTAGTGTTGGCACTACCAAACATCACTGTACTGTTTGACTGTAAGCTCTGGCAATTTGACATTTGTCATTTTTGACATTTTAAACAATTACTGTAACTTAATTAATCAAAAGAATTATTGGTAGATCATATCAAAGGCACTGTTATAGCCCTAGTATCATAGACAAGGAGTGCCCTACACAGTTGAGCAGAACTGCAATAAAGAGGCAGGTGAATGATTATAGTTCAATGTGCCATCTGGAGACACTGCCACTGTGAGGCAGACAGATGAACAGTGGAAGAGTGCGTGAGCAAGTAGGAGAATTAATGTTTGAGTCAGTTATTCTCTGGATCTATGAGGCTCTACACATTTAAAATGTTGTACAAACGACAAAAGATTGCTACAGATGCTGGGGTGTTCAGGTGGGCTTGATGTAACTTATTATGATGACAATAAGAGACAACAATAAATTGCATAAGCCCCCTCTTTGCACATAGACACATCTCTCCTGTGGTCATACATTTCCACATAACACATTACTCACTCCAACAATAAGTAACATGTGAGAACAAACAGGGTGACCATTGCCATTCAATTAGGCCCATTGTGGATTAATTTAACAGCTAGAAAAAGCAATCTGCACATCAGCTATCACTATTAAAGCAGCCACCCTGGTCCTGCACAGCATTGCCAGGGAACACTCAAGCCTCCTTTTCTAACTGTGGCAACTAAAGTATAGGGAGTGACAAATGGACCAATGGGATATTTTAATTTGGGACCTATAGGCAGTAAAAGCCTTTTCGATGTTCAAATGAGGGATGAGAGGGTGAAGCGCTGCAGAATGTGAAGTGATGTGAGTGCACCGACATGGCTTGCACTTCTGGTTGAGTTAATGTGTGTGCAAATGTATAAATTATATACTGTAAATGCACCACATGCTCAGATGCGAACAGTACTTTAGCATGACAACCTTACTTTGACTGAGGGGCTGGTATATACAGTAAGAAGAGAAGGAGCAGCTGCTGTGTTCATAACTGACAAATACTGTAGGACAAACATAGTAACCCTTATGCTGCATCAGCCAACAGTTCAGGATTGATTTGCATCTTGCTACCTATTTCATACTGACTGTTTGAAAGCAAAACTGAATTTATCTATATGAACATAATGTATGCTTGAATAAATACAGCCACTCTCTCCTTATATTTGGAACAAGGATGTGTATGGTGGCACCTGTTTACCATATTCATTTTTACATAATGGTTATGCAGCGGGTGCAACAGTCATTAGAAAGATTATCCTTTGCGTGGAAAGCCTGGCATCAAGCATCCATAGCTGTAAGCATGCACCCTCATCAGGTGTCTTTAAGCACGGCGCCAAGTCCTTACCAGCAAGGACATTGACGACTATCCTATGGTATAAATGACCAATGATATCTATGTACAGCATGCAGTGTAGAGTTGGCTACACACGATCAGCAATGTAACAGCTTTGTGCTGGCTGGCAAATTGTTTGTTATTGTTTATTGACAAGAGCGATAGCACCCAGTTTTACAAGGCTGCCCTTAGCAGCAACTTTGGCACCGGACCAAACTTTAGATTAATTAATCATTGACCCTGTTTGCTTAGGTTCTTTCAAAGTGCTCTCAGCAGACCTCGTGATGTGATCTTATCATTTAGGGTGTCAGCTTTGCCCAAATATAGGCCTTGGGATCTAATGTACTGTTTTTTTTTATTTATTGTGGCGGTAACCCTTTCAAATCGCAATGAAAGTTATGTTCACAACAAGCTAAGACTGATGCGTACATTAAGTGACTTGCTGCCCAATTTTAAACCAACTCCCACCTCAGAATCAAGTGGATCCAGTATAATTGATTAGACACGTCTAAAAACCCTACCTTAATTGTAACTGGGTTGCAAAATTAAGGGCCATAGTTGAGCATGACCAAAACCTTTACTTTCATCGTACTTGTGAGGTTTAGTGTATCAGACTGTGACTTATGTAAAACAAACAGTATGGTGATGTTAAGCAGAAATGGTGTTGCTAAGTGTAGCCAAAGCCCCCAAGCTTAAAACATCACACTTAATAAATCATGGCATGCTGAATGTGAGTCACACTGGGCTTCTGTGACATTATCAACTTGCTAACCTTTCTATCTGCACTTTACTATGCAGTGAGTGAGATATGCTGGTTGTACAAAAGCTGTTTAAGAAGCACAATAAGGATACTGAGTAAGGAAGGTTCTGCTCACCTGCACTCTGTGGATTGGTACAGGGCCTGCTACAAGGGCCTCTGCTACCACTGCAGGACCTCCTGCCTCAGCCTGTTCCAGCAGGCACAGCTGGTTTGTGATGTTGGCCATCTCTTCCTGCAGGCGCTCGGTTTCGACACTGATCTCTGCAATTTTCTCGGCAGCGGATGCTGTCAGAAACGCCTCTTTGAGGTCTACCAGGTGAAGGGTCCTCTTCTCCTCCAGACGCACCAATCTGCGCAGCTCATCGAACTGGCTGTTCACGTAGGCCTCTAGCTCCTCTGTAGACATCTATAATATGTAGATGAGGCACATGAGACAGAGAGTGAGAGAGCATGAGTGAAGGAATGAACTGGATGAATTTAAGTAGAGGAAATCCAGAAGATACCAAGATGGAAGGAGATATTGGGCTGCCATTTTAAATGAACTTGAATGAACTACTTCAGCGTAGGTATGAATCATTTAGATGAACTCATAATGAGAGATAGACGTCAAGCTCAAAAACGAGTAAGCGAAAGGAGAGGAGATAAAATTGTAAGGGTGTGAATTGAACATCCAGAGGCAAAATAGAGAGATGCATATGGAATGAACAAAGTATAGGGGCCAGACAGAGTCTTCTGTCCTTTACTTTGACATGTGAGTATTACTTTAATAAGCCCACTGGTCGCTGTTATGCATTAGCTAATTGATAGCATGAAGCAGATGCCCTGGAGGCAAACTCCATGCATCCCATCTGTAGATAGAGACCTTAGAAGCTCCTCTACCACAGCAAGCCATCTGTTTGTCTTTCAGGGCAACTGAACTGCTCACTAAGATACCTATTTTAATCCATTTCCCTGTTCCCCGATGAGGCTCTCTTTAGCTATGACTCATTACGTTAAAACACCTCAATAAACAGACGCCTCCCTGCAATCCTTCCCACTGAGATGGCTCCACCTCCAACGCAGATGCTGTCATGAGGTATAACGCCCCAAAGTCCCTTGTCATGATCTCAGTTCCTGAATATGTTATAATCGCTTCAATCTATGAACATCAGCTGCTCGGCCTCTCCTCTTCCCTTAAGCAGAACTTCACTCTCTTCCTTTCCATCTATTTTATCTTGTTTCCCCTCAGCTTCCGCCTCTCCAGTGAAGCAAAGAATCATCAGTCTTTACTGAGGTTGGCAGAGCCATGGCCCCTAGGGGCCCTAAATTTTATCGTGTATTTGCTATTTCTGCACAAGCAATCAGATTCTCCAAATTGCCCATTAAACCAAGCGCAAAAAGTAACATTTTTAATTTACTTTCTTCATATGAGCAGAGAAGAAAATGCACATTGTTTATTCTGAATCAGACAGAGACTTAGTTAACATCTAATTGGAAAGCAAAGAGTCATTTTCTTTATTTGTTTCACCAAAATCAATGCCCTGAATGCATGTCTGATGAATCAGGAACAATAGACTACAACTGCCTTGGACTAGCAACATGTTCTGGTCCTTGTCCAAATACCAGTGTAATGTATCTGTGAATGTGGAAGATTGGAGAGAATGAAGCATAATCTTCCAAATCTATCTATCGATGCCTCTAGAAGTTCTTATACTTTAACACACAGAGCAATAGAATGAAGTGCTCAAATATAAAAAATCCTACTAAATTACAATATAGGCTGATTAAATCTTCTACAAGACTCATCATTTTAAACGTGAGCAGTGAGCACTTAAAGAACACATTAAGAAATGACAAGGCATTTACTACCTAATTTTGTACTGGGACAAGAATTTAATGCTCAAGCTGTTTCTCATGCTTTGATGTCTCAAATGTCTTGCTCTAAGTTAGCTCTGACTGAGGTGTCACGGTCACCATGATGGATCAACATATTCAACATTCAGGCCCAATTCCCCAACAAAGCTAAATAATACTTTCAAATTTTTAAATGCTTTGACATCTGCTAGGCATTTACATTTATTATTAGTTAGCCAAATGGATATTTGTCTGTCAAAGTTTTCAGTGATATATATGAATTAACAGCTAGCAGTAGCAGTAATGACTTCATTAATTAATTCAATGTCAGGCATAGCTTTAGCATTCAGCTAACATCGTGAATACTGATGAAGAGTTACATTTTAGCCATTCTTTTTAAATGGCTAGTCTAATAGTGATTAAAAGTGAGACCATGTGACTTTTAAAGTATGAAATTATATAATCTTCCTAGAATTCATGACCAATAGCTTATGGTGGCTACTGTTAGCTACCATAAGCTATTGGTCATAAGCTACACATGCTATACATGTTTTCCAACATTAGCAAAGGTTACATACATATTGCAGTGTAAGTGACAATGGGGAGTCTGTTGCTGAATTTAGGTCTCTTCTTTATCTGTGCTGCTAACGTTTTAGGCTTGACCATAATACTGTTATTGACCACAGTGATTGCTGATCAGCAAAAGTTAAATTTGCTAATTTTAATATGTGGTGCAACATCTGTGACAACTGATTAGCGCTCATAAATGTCTCTAGTTTAATTTCACTTTATATGAGATCATTTGACATACATATTTACATATTGTGTTCTTTTGTGGTCACGACAGGTTTCAGTAAAAGCAGTTAGCATAAATAATGGAGAATAATGCTACCCAAGAGCAAAGCTACAACATGAATAAGACGGTGTCTCGTCTTTAGTATCTTATCTGTCATCAATCTGACACATTCCATCACCACATCTCCCAATCTCCAGGACCTCCACAGAGCCCCCTGATCTCTCCTCGAGTCCCTGTGGCCTCTGTGGCAGATGGGAGTCATGATCTTGGATCAGTGCTCTTTGTGTTTGTGGAGCCAGGATCCCTCTGCCCTTGGACCTTTCACTCAGTGACAGAGCTAGCAAGGAACGAGCATTCATGTGTGCTAATCTTCATTTGCATTGCTGCAAGCTGAGGCCACGAAATGAGGCCTCGGGAGAGACGGCGGCACACTGCTTACAAGGGCACAGTGAGAGTAAGGACAGGGGATGAGAGAGTGCACAGGCAGAGGCAGGACATGTGGCTAGCAGATTAAGAAAGTTAATTCTTTTTAAAGCAAAGGTAGGATGCCAGGAAAGCAGAGTAAGAAAGCCAAATTCTTTTGCATTCATGTTTTTAACATGCTTTTTATTATTACTGTAAAGCAGTTGTTATCTGAGAAATTCATATTTGCAATGTAATCTACCAAAATGGTCATTTCAAACAGGAAATGCCAACTTTAACATCAATTCCAATACTTTACAAGCAATATATGGGAGATGTAAAAGCTGAGCTGAAAGTTGAAATTCCAACTCCCTGCGACTGAAAAGGTTTCTTGAGAGACAGAAAAACTAAAAATAGACTTCTTCGACCTTTCTCTAACACTTCATGTGATTACAATATAGCAAGACACTCAATAGAATTAACTTCACACACTAGTGTGCTTGTGTTACTGGCTACAAAAAGGTTGTGCTACTCATTAGTGCTGATGAATAAACTGCAGAAATAGAACGCAAGCCCTTGAGAATTAAAATATTTTAGTGTAAAAAAAAAAAAAAACGAACAACAAAAACTGTGTGTTGCATTGCTTTGGTGAAACATCAGGACACATGAAAATGGAAAACAAAAGTTAACTCACAACAAATATCAAAGTAGCTTCAGTTTTTTATCTTAACCTCTCCAACTGCGCAGGCACTTCAGTAGGTCCATTATTGCAAATGCATTTTTGTGGACAAAAGCATTCTAATTTCTAGTTAAGTTTCAAAACACACAAAATGACACGATAATATGATGCCCAAGATCCCGCAGCTTCAGTGAACTGATGAAAAATGCAGATGCAGCATATATTTTTTGAAATGGAACATGTTTTATCTAACTTTGATGCTTTTGGTGCACTGATGAACAAGAGTTCAAATGGTTAATTTCCTTTGAATTTTCTCACTACTGAATCAGAGCCGGCCCTGCTGCTTATACAGAGGTCTGTGTTGTGTGATGCTTTTTAAAAAGGCCTAAAAAAGCATTAATAGAACATTAGGAGTAAATGGATTTGAACTGTCCTTGCCCATGGCAATGGTGGCCCTGTTCCAAGTGAATACTACTCTCTCTCATGCTCTCTTTTATCTCTTCCACAAATTAGACTCTCCAATTTAGCCTCTAAAACAACACAGCAATACATATAAAGTTGAAAAACATCAGCTCTTCTTTAAAAGTCATATGAAGTAATATAACGTGGGAAAGCCAGAGAAGTTAAAAGAGGTAAAGGAAAAATATGACAGAAGGCCCTTTGGTTTTATAATAGCAGTGTTTCAATATCGTTCTCTTTTTATTGGTTTTGAGAGAAGTAATGTCAGCCAAGCAACTTTCTGGGGAATGATACCAAGTAATTCAATTAAAATGCAGCGAGTAGAGATAGAAAGGGAATGACAGCCTTAAAGAGCAATGGGAGAGGGGGTAGTGAAAGGGAAAGGAGGAGTAAGAAAAGGATGAGGTAGAGAAGGATAAGAAAAAGCTAGATGAATAAATCTAACAGCAGCAAACCAAGTCTTTTCATGCCTCTCCTGTCTGTTCCTCAGCTGCGGTTCCCTAAGACAGCTTTAATGTGTCTGCTGCTCTTGTAGATTTTATGAGGCAGGGAAAATGGATGTAGCCGCTGCGCACACATACACATTTGTGACTGGGCTGATGTTGCCATGCAGCTTCCAGATATTGGACTCCACTCTATAGGCTGCGGAGAGCTGCTCCACGGGCAGCGTGCGCCCTAGATGACACCCTGCGCGGCAGAAAGTGAATAAATAAAAAATGAGAGCGAGAGGTAAATATGCTGACTACCTGCTGTCCAGGTCTGAAGCCATAACATGCTTCACGTATCACTTCCAGCTCTTTCACGATAGGTAATGCAAGTTGACTGGCTGATTGACAGACAGCCATCTAGGCCCCTCGTGTTACGTTACGCCTCTGGTCCTCCATTAATATGTATGCACCCCCATCACTGTTTTTTGCATTATATTCCATTTCCCTGTGGAGAATGGAGATATGAGCTTTGAGAGATTAAAATCCTCACACCTGCGGCAAAGCACATAATTAAGCGGGGTAGATTTAATAAGCAAACACCAGCTAAAGGGTTAAATCTTTGCATTCACTCTTCACCTCTGAAAAGTCTTTTGCCGCGCAATTTCCACTCCTCCTACGTCCACCTCTTCTGCTTCTGTGTCTCTACCACACACACACACACACACACACACACAACTTTCTTAACCAGGAGCAGTCACTCTGATGGTTGCCTGTCATGCATAATAAGAAACGTTGACATTTGAGAGTGCAGAGAGGACACACGGACAAATCCACCTAATGGTCTTCAACACGGTGCCCTGTGAGTGAGCAGGTAAGTGGCTTTTGCCAAGCACACTGCACCTCTACAGTGGAACAGCACACGACTAAATGTCCAGGAAGTCCTTGGGGCAGCATTGATATTTCAGTATGATAATAGACATGAACTTAGATGGGGTGCCGGCTGCCAGTAGAAGTCCTACCTCTCGCAGGCCAGTCAAATTAACCTTCTACATTATGCCACTGTGCTTGGGTCACATCTCTGCAGGTACTGAGAAATGCTCCTGTGTGCCACTGCTCTCCGATGGTTTCAGACACAGTACTGTAAGCAGAACAAGAGCCAGAACAGTGCAGGGGTGGTTGAGAAAGACAGCCGCTGTCGATGGTGAAACCATAGTGTAGAGACCTAGCTGTTCATTCCTGATCCTGCCGCGCACTGTTACATCTCTCACTGCACAACACGTAACTGTCTGTGGCAGAACATGCCCTCACTGTGGCATCTGTAATGGAAATACAGCCACTGTTTTCAAGGTTGACTTGTCACGAAAATTCAGGTTGCAGCTTTTGTTTTGGTTGATATCAAGAGAAAGGTGATGGTGTGCGAAATGCACTAGGCAACCTGCTTTTAAGACTGGAACCTGCTGAATGTTTGACAGAAAGGTTGGAATAAGGTTATGATCATTATTTCGGCTGGTGACCGCGAGTATAGAGGGGTGTGCAAGTGTGTGAAAAGATTTAGTGAGAGAGCAGAAAAAGTGAAATGTCTGTACACTGTGATGCAGTCTGGTAATAAATACTAACTTGTGAATGTTAGTGTTGATTCGCCACTATGGTCATTTATGAGGGTGTAATGCGTATTAGTGTTATATTAGGCTATACTGAAAGGTGTCATAAATATTTTTTCCACCTCATTTATTTATATGGAGCGGTAAGAAATGTTAGAAAACCCTTACAGTTTAATGCTGTATATAATACACACCCTACATCCACCCTCTAAGTCATAAATTGAATACCAGGGTTTTTGTCAACTTTAGTTTAATGAGGGTTTAAAAACCGCTAGAGGGTATTCTGTATGTAGTATTCCTCACTATTTATAGATGACAATGTCTAAATCACAGTCATTTTGAAAATTCAACCTCTGACTTAGCACAGGAGTGCTGAGTCAAAGAAGTGATCAACTGTAGCCTGAAAATGACATGACTCAGTAATCACACAATGATGCCATCACACGCTTCAAGTAGAATTATATCTGCAGAAACCAAATAGGCCAGATCTGTGATCTGTGAATGGGGCAGCATGATGAATATATGGATTGAAATAATTGGCTCTCATGTTTACTACCCAACGCCTTTATGACATAATCTCTTTCTAATCCCTCTTTATCTCATTCTAGACTGCTGTGTCTCAGCTGCTGCAGTGTCTATACTGCTGCAGTGCTTACTGCTGTACCCACTGAATTAGAAATGAGTAATGGCTCATTTTTTTGTGCTTTGTTATGGCTTCCCGGGCTTGAAACCATGTTTAACCAAGGTTTTTTTTTTTTCTTAAACCTTAGCAGAAATCAGCAAACTAATGGGATGCTACAATCCAACAGAGATAACCTATTTTATAAAAATACTCGTTTACCTCTTAAACCCTAAAGTCATGACAAAATGAATAATTGCACACTCATGGTCTTCAAATCAGATTGTGACTAATCCAAACTGGAGTTGGTATTTAGGAAAGCCATGTGCCGGGACAACTGAAATATAGAATTGCGTTTAAAATATACAAATATAAAAATGGAGTTAATTTGACAGGCTGACCGAGAGTACTTGGCCTAATTTACGAGATAAGACTGAAAGTAGACTAACATTTTCCTTGGAGGCAGTCCTAGAATCCATGGCAACAAACCCTGAAGCAACGAGTATATATTCTATAATGATGGATCATTAATTTCAGATGCAACAAAACAAAGTGTGCGCTGATTTCTTTATACATGTGTAAAGTTCCTGACTAGGAGTTATCAATATGCAAAAAAAAAAAAAAAAAACAGAAAAAGAAAAAAGAATCATGAATCACAATTTCCATAAGGAATGCTAATTTCAGTATTTCCTTTCCACTGAAAAATGAAAAATGATTTCTTAAATTTCTGGTGGAGTCTATAGCAAACAAACATGCTACCTTACGTATGAGAATATGATTTGTAGGCCGGGTAATTTGGAAATTGCTCAGTTTTTATAATATTTTGATTCATTGTTCAGCACCATCTCCTACTTGTACATTTTGAAAAACATGAGAGAAACATTGCAATTACCACAGTAAAATGAACCTTGTATATTTGTATCATTGGCTGTTTGCAGCTATTACAACTACACTGTATGCCTGCTATACTTGCTATATGTGAATGTTGACATCTTTACACTGCACTGAGACATATCTTTGTAGGAAAATCATCAGCATATTCAGCCAAACCATAAGGGACAATCACAATCATGAAAAGCAATTTAATACGCACACAGTACACTGTCATTCCTTGCAAGGAGGTCAAATCAATTTTTTATTGCTGCTGAGAAATTTTATTTGATAATAGTTGGTTTTAGCTCATTATTAAATGAGAACAGTTAAGGGCAAATCTTTTAGGAGAAGGTTTCTAAAAATGGCTCTTATGTAAAACTTGTGTTAGAATTCAAAACAGTGTTGTGGATGTAGGAGTGTGCACTCACCTCAGGATTGGTCCACTTGGTCTTGATCTTCTCAGCCATCTGTTGTGTACAGCCCAGGAGGTCGTAACCCTGCCTGCTCTACAGGTGGAGCAGACAAACACACAGTAAACACAACAGAGTATGCCACTTCATAAAACGGAGCATGTGCAGGGAGATTCTTTCTGTGACACCCAATTAGCTGGTTATTGGTTAATTATTACAGTTAAAGGTTTATAACAAGTGTGAAATTAACTTAACTCTATGCAAAGAAAGACTGCGCACAAGGACAAAAAACTAAATATTACAATATTATTCATCAAAAATATCAGTACTGATAATGAGACAATATACTTGGGATGATGATTTTCACAGATGTGTGCACACAAGAAAAGGTATGTGCATCCCTGACAGCTTACCAGTGAATCACAGGCTACACTTTTACATATAAAGTTGGAAATGCTGCATGCTCAATGCAGTGTACAGCCACAGGAAATCATATCAATACTCCCAGAGATAAAAGGTCATTTCGCATGAATACACTGAAACAGGATGAAGGATAAAAGCTAGAGTAAGTTTAGAGTAAATAATGTGGCCTTAGGCTGCGTGTGTGTGTGTGACCCCCTTTGTCTATCATCAATCCATATGTGGCCATCATGTAAGAGTAAGCCAGTGAAGTGTGCTGGTCTACTTTTGGTTTTCAGATGTACAGCCACAGGGCAGAGGACAAAACTCTCTTGCTCTGTAAATTACAGTCAGCGCACCATGAGGGTCATTAGTACTGTCGCTGAATGCACCAACATTGGGGGACAGTTGTCAATTGAGGCTCTTGCTGAGATTTCCTGATACAGTTTATTTTAGTGTTCACAAACAAAACCCTTGACTGTTCAAAATACTCATCCAAAGTGAGTCCCGGTTCCTGATACTATCACACCCTGTTAATTGGTCCTCTTTAAGTCAAGCTGCAATAACAGTCCGAATATGTTCAGTGTGCTGATAACATCTGACTCTAAATTGAACTATAATCATCACAAACCCTGTGCTCTGCAGGATTGAGCCTATAGTGATGATGGAGTTATTTTCAAAATCCAGCACAGGTCTAGCCCGGTTTACTGGACCTACTGCAATGCTGCACTGAACGACTGGTGACTCGCCGGACCCATTAAATCCTCCTGAAGCAAAAAGCCATTTGGAGAAACGGAGGAAGGTTGAAGCCATAATTGGTGCCAAGCCAAATGGACATTGGGAATCATTTATAATGTTTAATTTCCATTTCACAATTTTCATAGAAATTATTTATGTAGCTGTCTAACATAACTGTCATGTGGGTGATCATGAGACATTATGTTTAAAATATCACACAGTGGTGAGTTGACTTAAAGACTTCAGGGTCTACAACTGTTGGCAGAATACTAAATTAGAAATGTAAACCGGGACCGGCAACGCTCTGAATACTTTATCTTAAACACTACCGAGCTGCAGATGTTGTGTCGCAGGCCATTGTGATTAAGTACAGGAGAGGGCAGCGCGTACAGTAAATCCCAGTGTGTCTGGACCATATATAAACCTGTCATGTTGTGAGTGCGTGACTCACCTTCTGCCACACGTATGCCTCATGCAGGGTGATGATCTCATGCTCACGGTGCTCACCCTGCACAGCACACACCACACAGATGATCTTCTCATCTGGTTTACAGTAGAGGGAGCCTTCCTGTCCATGCTCCTTGCAGCGCAGTCTCTCTACTGTCACTGTGTCCCTCTTGCCAGCCTCTCCAGCAGCCATGACCTCCTGCCCTGCTTCTGCACCCTCAACTCCACCACCCAGCTCAGCCTCCAGCTGCGGACCATTCTGAGCCCCTTCTTTTCTCCCAGCATCCCCGCTCGCATCGGCGTGATTCGCACCAGCCTCATCCTCAGCCCCACCTCCAACTCTGGAGTCTCTGTTGGCGCCAAGTCCATTAGCTTGTGTCTCCTCGTGGTTATAAGGCATTAGCGGGTGATGTGTGCTGCTGGCGTGTCTGTCAGCATGGATGGGGCAGAAGGCAAAGCTGCAGGTGTGGCACACTTGGGTGGCTGGCTGGGCCTCATCAGGCTCGCATGCATCACATGAGCCGTCCATCTGCGGCAGCTCCTCGTGTTTCAGCCCCATAGCTCCTTCCTGGGGTTCCCCTTTGTGGTCCATGGCGGCTGATGATAGTTCTGGGGATAAGAGGAGTAAGTCTTATAGGAGACACAGAGCGGAGGACAGGTTAAAAATAGCGGTGACCTTCTGTGAACAGCTCTCATATTTGCACAGGGGAAAGTCCAAGATCCTCAGGACTAATCCCCTCCGATATAATATTCCCACACAACTGATGATGTGTGGAGGGAGCCAACGTCCACAGGAAACGACATCCAAAGCAACACTGCCACACAAGCTACACACACACACAAAAAAACAACAACATAATTTTTGCAAGGGCAATAAACAGGAAGAACCCATCTGCAGTCACTGAACTGTCCTTGTGTGCAAACACACTCACTTTGTTTACTAACTCACAAAGTGAAAGTGCTGAGTGTGAACGGCTGTACCCTCAGCATGAGCAAACACCCACGCTCTCCTCCCCTCACCTACCGGAGGCCCTGACCTTTCTGTGTGTTGTTCACTTCTATCTTTATGCCCTCTCACGACCCTTTCAGCCCGGCTCTGCGGGACAGTGACCAGCCGTGACAGACATGACGCAGGATCGCTCCCCCTCCACCGGTCCTCGCCTAGTTCACACGGAACACATCACACAACCACCCCCCCTCCCTCTCTGCTCCTTCATCGGTCGCATGTTCTCCTCGGAGCCTTCCTGCGTCTGAGCTGTGTTTGCTTACGCCTCACTTTTCCAATCCCCTGGCACAAAAGGACAACCGGTAGAAAAGCGCTGTAAGTGAGCAACCAGCAAACCTCCCACCTCTTCTTCCCCTTACCACCTCGCTCGTGCTACCTTCCTCCGCTATGAACTCACACCCCACACACACACCACACACCACACTACCACATCACACACCACAACTCAGTCGCATTTCCCACCCCCTCATTCTGTGAGTCGCTTACATAGATTTCCTCACTGCAGAATCACTATACTCTCTGTGTCTTTCACCTCGCACCCTTCTGCTCTACTTTCTTCCTAGCTGCGTTTGTTCCTAGGATCTCAGGCATGTTAAAGATCAAGTGGAGCAATTGTACGCACCCCTCCCGGCGGCTTAACTCGCATGACACAGCCCTTGAGCCTTGAATTTCTAGTTCTACTAGCACTGTCGAACCTGACTCACCTCTTCACATTCACCAGATACATCAACACGTCAGCGGCGCTCCAACTCCGATCGAAGCGCTTCCCTACTTCCTTTACTTTTTAACTGCTGCTGTGCTCGCTCTCTTTTTTTGCGTCTACTATCCTCTCCTAAGCTCTCCCTGTCGTGCAGACGGCAGAGACTCCACGCTGGACCGCGCAAACTTGACAAGCGACGCACAGACGCAGCTCGCGAAACTCCAAACGGAGGGCAGTAATGATGAGAGCGGTGGGAAGCAGACTTCTCACCGTTTGTGTACGTTGGTGTAAATGAGTCAGTCAAGACCGTGCTCTGAGTGGTGAGTTTCCTTCTCCTTACGTTGGCTCATGAATAATTACCTTCCTCCAGCTTCCGCGAAACGTAAGAATAGTCTCCGATTCTTCCTCTCACCGCAGCCATCTTTCTTTCGACCGCCACCCCCAAATAGGCTAGGCTAGTGTGGCGTCACACGCCGCCGCGCTGTCCCTCGGATTTGAGGTCTATGAACGGGTTTGCTCTATTTTGACCCTGCCCCTCCCCCTCCCTCCCTGGTGTGACTTGAATTAGTGTCTGTACCCTCGGCGACCCTTGTGTTGTGCCCATACCTGTTTTCCAGTGTCAGAATGTCTGCTGTGAAGAGGGACTGATTCAGCAGAAGTCAGGCGGGGCGGGCGGAAACATGCCAAGTGACCGGCGACAGCGGACGTCCTCAAGCCGTCGCACCGTACGCTACGCTTAAAAAGTGTACGTCTGTAAAGCGAGGCGCCTCAGCACCCTTTCCCTCTAACTCGAGAGCTACCTCTTGGGTATACTAGGCTATCATCACACCACGGGCTACCAGTCTGTGCACTCTTCTTGAACAATCACCGAATTCTGCGGCTTTAGCTAGCTCGAGCCTATTCCGACACCCTCATCATTAAGCTGATTAACTGATACTCATCTAACTTAGCCAACTGCGACTCACCGGTCTAACGCTGATCCTTCTCATCTAACATTAGGACCCGTTAATCTTCAGCCCGATCCTCACTCAACAAGGTGAGGTGAGCCACACAGATCTAATCCACGTCTCAATATTCATGTTTTCATTTTAGAACAGGCTACCGGGCGCATAATGTGTTACCTGCTCGCCCGGGCTGAGCCACGTGAACAAATAAGTTCAGACTTTAAAAACTTGTCGTTTGATACAGTCCAAATCCAATATATGCATAATAACACCTTCGAGAATTCAATAATGTGAACTCTAAAGCTGCAGGACTCAGCACTGCGATTGCTTTCTGTTGCAGTAAAGTGGCGTATAAGTATACCTTGGCTGACGTCCTGCCATCCACACTACGACTACCTGTTCAGGGTGGTGCACTCCCTATCAGCGACGTACCGACTTCTTGGGCGCATTGGACTCACAGAGATGAGAGTTATCTGCATCTGCCTCTTTCCTTGCGCAAAGATCAAAACCCCGCGCGCCACGCCAGACTGGACCACCCGCCCTTCCGGACACCTGACCGACAAGCTCAAGCACTTGTGGCTACACTTATTCTCATCTTGTCCATGCGGCAGATTAGCAAGTCTGAAGTCAAATCCGATTTCAGCTCATCTAAGAGGAGCTATCGTCTAATAAGGCGCACGCGCCACCGCGCTACAACCATTTCTCCCAAATGCAAAATTGCGCTCGACTTCCTTTGGCGTTTGGGGTATCCTGGCAGGTCCAAGAGGCGCTTTTTTTGTAGTATGGATACATATTGCCTCCGCTTTCATACAACCTGTGAAGCGGACTGCGCTGCGGGGCTGCTCTTCGTTGAACTATTCAGGCGACTGCTTGAGCCACTTGTTGCTACCCCACGTCGCAAAGGGATCCATAGTTAGAACCCTCGAAATTATTCTCCCATACAACATTGTGTCAGATGTTGGCCTGCCGCACTTTCAATGAAAAATTCCATTCTCACCCCACGAACTCGCAGCAACTCACCCGTCGCATGCGTTGCTACCCAAAGGAACGAAAAAACAAAAACCACAACCAAAAAAAAATACAATGAATAACAAAATAATATCACAGCCTACTCCCCACCCATCCCTGACATGTTAATTAAGACAGTAATAAACACATATCTGTACGCATAACACAGTCGGCAAAAGACTGGAAAAACTCCACAACAGCTGAGTCGCGCGGACAAGCAGTATACCCGCTATCCAATATACAACAATGCCACTCCTAGTGACGACCATTAAAGAACGTTATCCCAAACACAAGCCTGCATCGCTTCTTAGCTTGTCTGCATACGTTATCAGTTCTACTAGCTACCTCGTCACCAACCTCCCAACCACCAGTGAGCTGACCAGCTACAATGCCGAAACAGCATGCATCTTACTCCGATCCCACATACAGCGGGAACCGCGCGTTCACCCGGAGAGTAACCCACACACATGACAGCTTAACACACGTCTATCGGGGAGTTTCGAATCCGAATTGACTCTTCCTCTCTATCCTGTTCACAGAGTATGCCTTACCACCATAAACTCACACACACGCGCTGAGAGACACCCCGAGAATTACGAAGTCATGGAAGCCAGCCAGACACGGAACGAGTGAGAACACAACAGCGTTCTCCTGTACCGACGAATCGCATAAAAGGCTATTGAGGCCGGGCTTCACACGACAGCAGTACTTTGGTCGAAAATCGCATATCTGTTTTAAGCCTGCTCCTCACTCTGAATTGAATGCGCACACCTCAACCCCAGAACTACCACGCATGACAACCCAAATCTAAATGTCAGCCCTCCAGCCTCTCACAATTCGCATAAGGCAGAGATCCGCTGCAGATTCCTTTTCTTGTGCAAAGTTTTTGAGCTAGGTTTTGAAGAGGATTCACACTCATTAGATATCCGCCCTCCTCCCATCTCCTCCCACACCTTTGACTTCTACCTAAGAACTGCAAACAAGATGACGGGCGATGCGCTATCAACTGAAAACCACTGATCACTGGCAGCTTATCAAACCTTCCTTGCGCTTGAGACTGTCGCTTAACCCGCATATTGTAGTACACGATCCTCACCTCCCGTGCCATGCGCGTCTTGTTCACCGGGAGCGGCGCTTAACTCACCCAAACACATCCACACCTCACCCTGCACACTGATTTGGAGTGCTATTGAGCAGCACGCGAATTACGTTTGTCACCCATACATCACACCGCCCCCCACTCCTCCCACCGCGCCTGAATGAATCTTATACAGTTATGAACCACCACACAGCCATCCCGGTCAACTTCGCTTGCTTATATTGCCATTCAACTACACCCCGCGTCTCTCCACGCTCTCGCATATATCTACTACTCTCCTATTTTCGTCTTTACCTACT